AAAACATTTTTTATATTATTTTTTTATTTGAAAAATTAAAAATATTCATTTCACACATTATATTATTGACTTTTATTATAAAAATTATAAAAATGCATCTTATATCTAAGGAAAATCATGGCAAATAGAGCAATTTGTTGATGTGACCGAATGTTCAAGACACATTGGCTTCTTACATTTGTCGCACAGCTTTCTGGTTTTTCTACGGCGTTTTTCCTCTTGTGCGTAACATAAATAGCAAGATCCGGACACAGGTTTTGGCGTGCGCGCTGCGGCAGATGTTGATGCTGCTGTTGACACCATTGATTCCACCGGTCGGCTTTTTTGTTGGGGGTGCACCATCTTGATCCATTTTAATCTGAAATTGAGAAATAAAGCTATATTATTCCTAAAATAAAAGAAAATTAATAAATATCTACCTTTCGCTGCAAAATCACCATAAAATGAATAACAATAAACAGCTGGCACAGAGTCGCATTTACCTTGCTACGCTTTCTTGCAAAATATATACATGGGTTTAGACGTTGCATATTTTGCATCTATAGGAAATGTTGTTTCCCATATATTTTGTTGTTGTATGTTTGCAAATTATGCAATCCTTGCAATCCGTGCAACATGCAATGGCTTTGCAAGATTTGGAGAATACCCCTATTGTTTATATTAATCATTGTGCCGCTATGTGTGATCTGCCGTTAACTTGCATTGTGTGGTGTCGAATTAAATATGTTTAGATTTTGTGTGGTCTATGTCCATTGATTTGAATATCGGACTAATAGAGTTTGTTGTTGTTGTTGATATTTGAGATATTGGCGATGACGTTGGGGAACGTTGATGGTGGTCGAATTTGTCTTTCCTCTTAATTATCTGTGGATGTATGTGTCTGTTTCTATTATCTAAAACTTTTCCATTATTCAATTTTACTTTTATTTTTTTATACTTTGGGTCACTCTTTCTTATCCTATCTACTTTTACAAAAATATCATCTTTATCGATTAAAACTTTGTCAGTTCTTGTTGTGTTTTTATTATTACATATAAGACATATTTTGCTTTTTTACTATTTGTTCTCTTATTTTTGAAAATTCTTCGTTCGTAATTTTGTTTGTCACAAAATCAACTGGTCTTCTATTTATAGTAGAATGAATGCTACTATTATAGAAATGTACCGATTTTATTACTCTTTTTAAAATTGATTCCTTATTATTTTGTGATTTTAAAAGTCGAAGATGTTCATTAATTATGCCGTGTACTCTTTCAATATCACCATTACCAGTTTTGACTAGTGATGATGTGAAATGTACATCGATTTCCCCGGTATTAAAATATTCTCTCATGTATGAGTTATTAAATTCGTTATCAAAAACGTATTTATTTGGTTTTCCAAATATTGAATGCCTATAATTTAAGGTTTCAATAAATGTTTGACTATTTCTATCGGTTATAAGTGCTATAAACAAATGTTTGCTGAATTTATGAGTAGCGTGTAACCAAAATAGTATATAAGCACATAAGATACAGGGCTTGTTCGAGTCTCAAACAATGCGGCAATACTGCGAAGCATCATGTTCGATGTAAAAATGTGGCAACTTTTCCAAATGTGAAGCGTTCGAGCAACTCGAATTATGACGTTTCATGCGCGCAAAATAGAGAAAAACCGGCATCAGCAAAATTTGTGATGGAAGAAGATAGGTAAGCAAAA